CTAGCTCAGCGCGGAGTCAGTCGTTGGGGAAGTCCCTGCGTACAGCAAGCGTAGGAAGCGTATCTATTGTTTCGTTGCATATTTTTATTTATACAAGGAGATTAAGAATGTTTTATTTCAACTTTCTATGACTTATCATTTCAGTATAAAAAGGGTGGTACGAGTGGTCCGAATAATTCTGTATATTATTCCATAAAATTTATTTTTTTTAAAATCACCTTTTATACATTGTGTGTTGCGGGCCGCAAGGAACAGTTGACAGGGCCGCAGGTTGAATATGGCTGCCTTACGGGGACACACTGTATATTTCGCCCCGACTTCCAACCCTTATAACTCGCCCCAGGGGCTTTATTAGCACGTACATAACAATACGTAACCTTATTTTTGGCTATACTATCGCTGTACCAAATTTCAACAAAATCGGTGAGGGACAGTTCTGATACTTCCTTTGTAAGTCATTGTTAAATGGTGTTTCTTACCTTCCTATAGCAGCGGCCAATCCAGCCGCTCTTTTCTTAGTCTCTTTTGAAGAATTTTCTGTTCCCATATAACATGTTACTAAAATACGATTACACAACTCATTGGGTAATGTTGGAGTATATTCATGATCACCCAATATTCTCCTCAAATCTGATAAAATTGTAGATTCTAAAAATCATTTATTACTTCATCAAAACAGGAAATTTATCAGATTTATTTATTAATATTATTACCTCCTTTTTGTACCTCTTGTACGATTAATCTACATAATGAATAAACTATTAAAGCTGTGCTTGAACTATCAACTCCTCCACTTAAAGGTAGAAAAAATCCTCCTTGTCCTGAGCGTCGCAAATAATCCCACAACCAACATGCAGGACCCTAAACAACGTAATTTTTATAATATTATCTTTAAATAAAAATAATTTAGTCAATAAAACCTGAGCGATTTCTTCTTCTGGTGGTAAACTAATCCAATCTACAGGGACAGAAATTGGTAACCTACTATTGCTATGTTCTGTTAATGAAAAATCAACTTCTATCCTTGGATAATTAGCACATCTAGCTGATTCAACAACGAAACTCCGTTTTGAGTTTCGATAAGATCGGATGTCTTCTAAATCAAAAGTGGCTGTGGTTATTTCCTAATACACAAATTAAACTAATAATAAAAGCTACATAAAAAAATTAATTTTTTATCTTACAACATCTTGTAAAGCGAATTGTTTAGAGTAAGCTAAAATTTCCCCATTTAAACAAATACAAGAATTTCCATCGAAATAAATTCTTTGACCATCACAACCTCTTAAATTACTAAAAACATAACAACCCCCACATTTTAAAGTAGCATCAGTAACCAATTTTCTTATAATATAAGCTTTTCTTAATTCTGTGTGACTGCCAGAACCGTTTATTATTATTTCAACTCCATCCAAGCTCATATCTACATGCGTATTTTTAGGGCTCCATAATTCTTCACAAATTTCAAACCCTAAGCAAGTATCTTTTGTGTCTAAAATAGCATCACCGAAAGGAACTGTTTTTTGGCCGGTTATTGAAGATATAATTTCCGGTAATCTTAATTCTTCTATTTTTCGAACCTTAAATAACATACATTTAATTTCTTAATCATTTCTATTTCAATATCAAAAATACCTTCTCCCAAGATGTAAACCACCTAGATTCCCTATAATTTCCATCATTACACATAGCAAGTTTTGGACGAATTAATAAAATTTTTTGATTTAAAAAGACCACACGACAGTTATAAGCTACACTTTTAAATTTCACTGGCATACCAACATCAATAAGGATATCATTACATGAAGGTGATGTTAATAGTTCTGAAAGCACCTCCCAGCTGTGCAAAAATGTATCGTTTTCGTAAAAGTGATCTTCGCAACTATAACCACATATCTCTAATTCAGGCCCTGTTCTATAAGCAGCACCCTGTTCTTTAGCTTCAATGATAGATTCTAAGATTCGTTGAAGATTTCCGTCGAAATCTAAAGCCCATTGATTTAATGTAGCAGTAGCTATTGTTACTTTTTTACCCATTTTTGGTATTTTTATATGTAACTAGAAAAAATAAAATTAATGTAACAATATTAAGCGAAAAATTATTAGGGATTACCTGTTTATTAATAGATATAAATCAATACTGTTAAAAAAAATAAAATGAGTACAAATGATTTTATAGATCAAACAAATAGGTTATGTACCGGATTATGTCAAATATCAATGTGACCAACCTAATTTTGTCATAATCGTCTCGTATTTAAGTTGATAAAAATATATTTAAAAGATATTATTATTGATTTTATTGTTATTAATCAGAAAACATAGGATTTAGTAATTTGTTTAATATTTAATCTGAAAAAAGAATATCTAGATAATGAAATTTTTTTTAGCGACATCTGTTATTCAGTAACTGTTAAAATAGTTAGCTTGTAAACCAATCTGTCATGGTTTGGACCTCTGCTAAATATACAGAATGGTTCAGTTTTTAACCGGGAAACTATTAGGACGTAGTACTTGCCAAAATAACACAAATTTTTTATATAAATGTAGGGTCGCAACTCGTTTGTTTTCGAGCTATGAGCTGTCAAAGTTGAGTTAAAAATTTACATTTTATTTTGTATTTTGGCTGTAAGTAAACCGTAAAATTTGAAACTTTGTACATATTTACTACTGGTTAAGACCTTATTGTCAAGCATACCTTAAACTTCCCTAGCGCCCTCTAAGGGGACGAAATTCACCACCCCCTTGATTTTTTTTATAAGAACTGTTTAACGCTATGGAATACTAACATAAAAAAATATGGGTTGTAAAGTTAATTCTTTAGTGGTACTTTTTTGTCTCTTTAGTATTTTCTTTAAAGTTAACAATTTCCGTGTAAAAAAATGAAATATCGTGCCATGCACCGCTATGTGCAGCCACGTTTAGCTAAAATTATGCTAAAAGTTGGTTATGAGAACTTGTAACTTTCATTTACGGTGAATCCTCATAATTATTGATGATTATTAATAATAATTTTTGATTGTTATTAAACAAGAGTATCTATTTTGTAATATTGTTTAAAACAACGTAATTTGTTCAGACATTCATCTTATTATGTTTTTTTTATGAAAATCACAATTAATTCATGTTATTTAGTTAGTACTAAATCTTAGTAAGTGTACAACTTCCATAGCCAGCTATAAAGAAAATTTTGTTTTTAATAATAGCAGCGTTTTACAATACAATGTAGCATATTTTATTTTTTTACGCTAAAACTGTTATCTTTAAGGAAAAAACTCAAGAGACAAAAAAGTACCAATAATGAATAAGCTTTACAACCCATATTTTTTTATTTTAATGTTCCATGGCGTTAAAAAGTTGTTCTAAAAACATCAAATGGGTTGCGAATTTCATCCCCTTAGAAGGCGCTAGGAACGTTTAAGGTATCGTTGAAAATAAGGTATTAACCAGTAGTACATACATACAAAATTTCAAATTCTACGATTTACTTATACCCGAAATAGAAGATAAAATGTAAATTTTTGGCTCAACTTTGACAGCTCATAGCTCGAAAACAAAAGAGTTACGAACCTATGTTTATATAAAAAATGCTATTATTTTGGCAAGTCCTACGTCCTAGTAAAGTTTCCCGATAAAAAACTGAACCAGCCTGTATATATGATATGTATATACTTTATATGTATATTTCTTTTTGAGCAAATTAAATTAACTTAAATTAAATGCCCGATTCGACACATTTAATAATATTTAATCAAACACATCAATTATTTCCTTAATTAATTAATCAATTTTAGTTATCAACGTCTCGATCGAAAGTATGATCCACAATGAATGCGAAGGCGGAAATGCCCGATCTCAAAATTTACTACGTATTACCTACGTACGGTTATTTAAATGACTCCACGTATCTACCGAATGGAAGTTTAGCCCCCAATAAGAGAAGAAATTAATTTTGATTAAATTCGCTATAAGCAAAGAACGGTTGGACGAATTTTAATGTTTTATATTTCAAACGAAAGTTTGCCTCCGCCTGAATAATTATGTCGAAATGCCCGTTCGAAATATTTAAGAATTTTGATTAAAACACAAAAACTACTTAGTCAAATAAGTCAATTATCTCCTAATAGAATTGAAAACGACTCACCGATTGGATGTTGTTTCCTTTGGATTTTACTTCGAACCTCAGCTGGAAAGAAAAGATAAATAAATTATTGTGACAAAAAAAATGAATTAATACGATACCTTCTAACATCCATAAAATAGCAATCCGATGATCTCAACTATATCACATCACTAATATCACCTAACTTTATCACTTAATTCAAGTAATAAGTTNTAGATGGGCAATCAATCAAGTTACTCTGAACGCGATTCAGATAAGTGCGATAATCAGCAGCAATTAAAGCCTTGGCACGCTTGCGCTGGAAGCTAAAGGAAAGATAGTCGTTTCGATTACCCCATCTCTTCCACTTTTTATGGTATTTCAATTTTTCTTTAACAGATTTAATAGTAGAAGGCGTATACCAGTGAGAAAAACGATTATTACGGGAGAAGCTTTGGGGAACGAATTCATTCATATACCCATACAAGACAGAATAAAAAGTATCAACACAGAGATCTACATCTAACCCACCAAATAAACTGCGCCAATCAACACTTGCCAGCCCACCCCTGAGACCGTCAAAATCCGCACGATCAAACCTCCAGGTGACCGATGGGCTCTCACGCAAGACATGACGTTTATCAAACTTAAACAAAAATTCTAAAGCAGGGTGATGCCCATCCAAGTCAACTAGCGGATCGTTACAGGAGCGCACCGAATCGACTCCTCCCGAGTTGCACAAAATTAAATCTAGGTATCTGGAGTTATTGTTAGCAATATTATTAAATTGAGACAAATTACAATAAGAAATAGTAAGAAGTAACTCAGTCGCACGAGGGTTAGCGACGACAACAGGCACAAGGTTCCCCGCGACTGACGCGGCCCAAGAAATGTTGGGAACATTGAAATCACCCACCAATAGTATATGTGTGTCTGGAGACCGGTCGCGCACGTACTGAAGTTGACGGAGGAAAAGGTTAAATGACACAGAATCACTTGGAGGTAAATATACGCAGCATAACAACACTCGCGAGCCACAAAAGCATACACTCAACCAAAGGAACGTTGTTCCATGGAACGCCATTTTAATGTTCCAACTTTTTTTGAAAAATGTCATGACACAACTAGAAATTTTCTCTGACGTTTCGTTTGCGTAAAACGAAAAAAAAAAACACTGGCGTTCATAAGAAAAAATAAACCAGATGATAGTTTCACAAAAACGAAACGTCGGAGAAAATTTCTAATTATGTCATGACATTTTTCATAAAAAGTTGCCTTAGGAATGTTTTTTCAGATTCACGAAAAACGAAAAATAAAGAAGTTATAGGCAAAAAACGAAAAAGTCATTTTTTTTTTGTTTTTCGGCCATATTTTAAAAACTAAAACCACTAGATCCAAAAACTTTGTTGAAAAATGATGAGCTCTAAGATACGCAACCTTGCCCCCATTTATCCATTTCTGTATTTCTTATGGTTCCTAAGATTCCAATGGTGGGGGGTCGAATTTGAGAAGTACTAAACACTAAGTACGATACTAAGTACAAAAAATATATTTTTTCAAATATCAATTTCAAAATATACAGTGTGTCCCCGTAAGGTATAATTGACGAAAAATTTTTGAATTCAAATTATATCTTTTGCAATTAAAGTCTGGATGTCATAAAACGAAATATAACCA